GTACTGAGTCAGTCAGTGAGTCCTGGAGCTACCGCCGAGTTAGCCAGCAACTAGTCAGTTGTATTCTGGCATTGGGAGTGTACTATTTGTGATACTGCAGATAGCAGTAACCGTAAATCTGTAATTTGGGTGATTGTAAGTGCGAATGTGAAATAAAATTCGCTACATCGAATACATCGAGAATTTATTTGTCGCGATATACGCCCGATACGCGACAGTATATTACCTCTCACGGCTCTGAGTCTGTCTTCCCTTAATCTTGATGTGTGATTATCCTATTCCTCTCGCCGTTTTAAAATCCATTCTCCTATTGGCTGGATTACGCATTGCTGTCCAATGTCCTGACTAGTAACATGATTTAATCTTGTTATATTTTAGCGTCCTGTTGCACTGATTTATGCCCATGATTTATTCTGACCGTCTTACAGTGCATACATTTATTCACCTTACTCTTCTCTCTTGCACTACATGTTTCGGCACTAAAGTGCCATCTTCAGGTGCTTTTCGATGTACGTCGAACTACTTCATTGCATACCCTGTTGTCTTTATACTAAAATAACTAAAATATATATTCGTCATATATATTGATAAATTTTAAATATTAAAAATATTAAAACTGTTCAGGATTTGTCATCCTTATGTCGTATCTCAATACGCGAGTCACACCTATCTTCTTCTGTCGGAGTATTCTTCCTACTTTCTTGTGTGTTTTGTGCTTTGTGTTGTGTCTTGCTCCTGTGACTCCGTGTGTTATACTGCTGGGCCTGCTGGGTATGTGTGTGTCCAGTTTAAAGTAATTTATGTTGTTCTTACTTTACAACATATTTTGGTCATTGAGGTCATCATCGGGTAAGTCATTTTAGATTAACACACTAATCTCTCTGCTATTACTCCCCTACATCAGCCAATAGCAAGCCGTGGTAGCGGAGTCGGTATAGCGACTGCCTACGGCCTGGACGACCGAGAGGTCGAGTTCGATCCCCGGTAAGAAGGTAAAGTTGTCCCTATACTTAACTAATCAAGCACTACGCTATGAAGGCGTATGGGGAGTGGATGTATAGGTCGACATTTTTTTTTTGCTCTGCACTAGCTGGAGGTGAGTAGTCAGCTTCACGCCCCTGCTGCTTTACCTCTGGGGAAAATCCCCGGTACCCGTTGGATAGGAGGGTAGGTGGGCCCCAGAGCCGGTCTGCATGACTTGGAGAAGAGATAAATCTGACCCTACCAGGACTCGAACTCAACCCCTCGGTCGTCCAGCCCGTAGCCAGTCGCTATACCGACTGAGTTCTCCCGGCTCTTCCGAGTCCCGGTAGGGTCAGAATTTTTCTCTTCACCACAGCGTCCAGACCGGCTGTGAGGCCCACCCAGCCTCCATCCAATGGGTACCGGGGGCTCTTCCCCGTGGTAAAGCGACAGAGGCGTGAAGCTGACCGCTTACCCCCAGCTAGTGCTCCCATACTCCATCATGGCGTAGTGCTTAGTTAATTAAGCGCAGGGACAATTTTACCTTTAAGGGAGTAATAGAAGAAAAAGTGGAGTGTTAATGTAAAATGACTTACGTACTCATCTGTTGGTGCCCTGAATGGCCGAAACATGTTATAAAGTGAAAACATCGTGAACTTATTCAAATTATGGAAAAATTATGTCGACGGGATATATAATAAGTAGCTCACACACAAAATGATGCTGAAGTACAATATTACGCGGAAAAGAGACTTTTCCCGGCCCATGATCGTACGAACGTACTTGGTTGTTGTAGTGTGTACAACACACACCTATACCAGAGTTTCGGTACTTTTCTAGACCGGCGCTAATAATAGGGGTGACCAATAAAAGGGAACGTTTTTAAGAACCTTAATTCGCTATTCCAATTTCTCTATCAAAGTCGCACTAAGAGTCTGAGACAGAAAAATATTGTCATGGGTCCCGCGGGTCCCGAAACAAAGAATGACTGTGCTGGCGAAGGCCAGCAGCAATTTATCTGATCGATCGTTCCACCGAGACTTGACTAGGGAACGGTTAATATTGCACGTTATTGGATGTTGCAACAAGACTACAGAAGTAGTGGAATGATTTGAGATGAAATTAGTTCTGAATGAATAAGCGAATCATTATATTCTAAACAAACATTTTATCTTCTTCAGTCTTTTGATCCCAAAGAAATAATTTTGCTACTTTATAGCTATGTAAGATTTGAGGCTTTCACGGCGGTGACTATGAAGAAAGCAGTCTTCTGGGATTTGGCACCGTGTATATGTGGTGTTAACCGACGTTTCGAAGGAACGTATACGTTCTTCCGAAACGTCGGTTAACACCACATATACACGGTGCCAAACCCAGAAGACTGCTTTCTTCATACTTTAAAGCTCTTCGTGTAATTGAAATATATTGACTTTCCATATACTTTTTTAAAATAGGGATGTAAAGTAATATCCAAAAAGCCTTCATGCATTGGACCGTCCATGCAGGATGGGATTACCATGCAGTATCCACCGCAGACCTGTATGCAACCCACTATGCTTCTGTGCCGTAAATAATTGGAAATTGGAATTCACTTGGCAAGGGAAAATCCAATTTACTGGTTGGTGTTCGAAGGCCATGTACTGCAGAAGAAATTTGTACAGAGAGGGAGCGATGAGAAAGAGAATGGATAAATGTCAGGGAATGAAATAAAACAAAGAGGATGATAGAAACTGGAATTTTGGCAATTGAAGACGTACACTTCCGTTTCTTCCACGTTGCCAAATTGTAGGTTTTGTGGGTATAGTTTCAAAGAGTCGAAATGTCCATACCCACAATTTGCAGAGGGGTGGTTTTCGGGGCTGTTTTTCTTTTCTGGATGTGAGGATCATCTGGATCCTTATAGCAACTTGATATAACAACGAATCTATGTCTTTGACTTTGTATTGATGTTTTGCTTTCGATTTCTCTTTAGACTATTTTGAGGACATTGCAACATTCGTCTAACAGAAATGAGTACCAGGAATTAATTAAATAATTTTCCTGGGGAGTAAAGCGCGGCTGAGTAAGGCTGACAACCTTACCGCCATCTTTGAGCTGATTGTCTAGATAATGTGGGGCCCTCAGTGTCTCACAGCCCTATGGGCCTTCACGGCCTGGTACAGGGATAGCTTTACTTTTTTTTTTAATCTCTTTATATCCAGCAGTCTTAGTTGGACTGGGTATCGCACATCGGAAGATCGGTACATATGCAATACAACACAGATACTTCAAGACTGCACATCTTAGACCTCTGAGCCTCTTGAATCAGCAATCATTATTTTTATCGTAGGATGAAGACGTTACGGCACGCACTGCTTAAAATTCCATTTATATGTATTGGGTTGCTCTATGGAAACGTACAGTATGCAGAGTATTGTAATTTTAAACATTAAACTTTGCAAAAGGCGGTGAAAGGGAAGGCAGAAATTGCATCTCTGTTTATCTACTGTTCCATTTACTACTCAAAGGGAATTGGTTCCTTCTCTTTGGATTTCGCGTGTCGCCTGGCATAGTAGATGGTCCAGCTCCGCACCGACACCCGACAAGTTGCCTAGCACCAAGGCGGTGATGGGCACTGGAGCGTACTATGCCCCCACCCATAAAGCGTGGGCTAGTTGCAAGTATCGACGTTTAATAAAAGAAGTGCGTTGTGCCACGAGTCCTGCACTTTCAAAATAATAGCCTTCCAAAAACCATGGTATATAGAATAGTCGTTTAAAAATAATTTGGTTCGTAGATATTACGAAATTAAACGGAACGCCGATTCTCCTATCGCATAATTTAAGAACTTTTTTGGGAGGTGCAAGGAGGAACATTTCACGTTATTGTTATTATTATGTTCTTTTGCTTGTGATTATATTAACTTTGCCTTTGGGCTGTTGAGCTGTTAACAAAACCAAACAACTCCGTGGCTTGAGTCCACAAGCAAACTATACCGATCGAGCGACCGTCATTTGTCGGCGAAGTTAGTTCCAACTTTAGCGAACAGGGTGCCAGGTGATCAGCGCAACGAACCGGTGTTGTTAAACGTTTACAAATATAGCAATTAGAATCGGGACACAGGTAACTAGGAGTTAGGCCGCGCCATAGCTCAAGCGGTTAGTCACTGGCTTCCCACCGCGGCGGCCCGGGTTCGATCCTGGGTCTGGTCAAGTTGGATTTGTGGTGGACAAAGTGGCGCTGGGGCGGGTTTTCTCCAAGTACTTCGGTTTCCCCTGCCAATCTTCATTCCACCAACTGCTCCATAATCACCCTCACCTATCATCTGGGGCTGGTACAATAGGCCAGAAGTGGCCGCAGTACAAGGGACTTAGTCCCACCCCACTAGCAATAAAAAGAAACTAGGAGTTACGTTTGTCGTTTTGTGTAGACCATTATACAATTAAGGCTCTCAGATCAAGAAAGAAAAAACAGATGGGTGGAGTGTAGGGGAGGTGGGTAATGCATACAAAATTTTTAAACGGAGAACCCGGAATGGAAGAGAGTACTTTGGAGACTAAAGCATAGATAGAAGGATATTATGAAAAGGTATATAAAAGATACCCGGTAAGGTCAAGAAATTTCTCTTCTCGAAATCGTCCAGACCGGCTGTGGGGTCCCCCCAACCTCCTGTCCAGTGGGTACCGGGGGCGTGAAGATGACCACTCACCTCCAGCTAGTGCCGAGGTCAAGAAAATGTGGATCTATACATGCACTCCCCATATGCCTTCATGGCGTAGTGTTTAATTCATTGGGCACAGGGACAGCTTTACCTTTTTGTCTTAAATATATAGATTGTGGCTATATTCATTGGATTCGCCTGGCTCAGGATAGGAATCAATGGCAGGCTTTGGTGAAAATGTTAATGAATGTTTGAATTCCATAAAAGTTAGCGAATTTCTTGATTCGCTGAGCGACTGTTCCATTAGCTGTTATTAATCAGTTTAGATGTACGTTTTACAAGGTTGCTGCAGAATTTCTGTATCACAGACCTTGAGACGCGCTGTGATGTGTTGCAGACAGGGTCTATGGTTCTGTGCTCCGCTGTGCCTCTCGGCCATCATGGTGTATGAAGTGACTCGTCTCAAGTGCAGCTGACCCAGCTCGGGGGTCAACATGATGAGCAGTGGACCGCGGACCTCACATCCACCAGACGGGCTAGAGCCAGAGGTGAGTCACAGAATAATTGATATTTCAACTTAATACCATGAGCCACTCGACCCTAAGGGCTGAGTCCGACCAACATCTAACGCCTCAGTGGCAAAATGTGCCTTGATTAATGTCTTATGTGTTGTTATTTAATATGGCCTGAAAAGTAATTAAATAATTTTTAATTTATGTTTATTTTATTCGACATAAAGGCTCTCATCATCTCCAAAATCTGCAGAGAAGTTGCTTAGGTTGCAAGAACTTACACGCGGGCCTTGCCATAATCCACTTTGCCATGGACGTTCCATTTTCTTATGGCGTTTGATAGATGTTATACCTTCCCCTCGCAAATCTTGTTCCGTTGTCGCTTGTGCTGGGAGATCTTGGCCCTTCCGGTCTTCCCTACTTGTCTGAACCACGGTTATTCTCCGCCCACTACAAACAATGAATAGTTTTTGCTACATCGCTAAGAAAGTATGTAATAACATTTTAGGTTTCTTGTCTATTTTTATTTGTGTGAGATTAAACAAGATTATATGGCCAGTGGACCGCCTCTATGATCTAGTGGTCAGAGTTCCTGGCTACAGAGCCAGAGGTCTGCCAAATTTCCTGAGAAGTAGTAGGTCTGGAACGGGGTCCATCCTCACGAGGCTGAGTGGACCCCGTTCGAGACCTACTACTTCTCAGAAAATCTGGTAGCGCCCGGAATCGAACCCGGCATCTCTGGATCTGTAATCAGGAACTCTGACCACTAGACCACAGGGGCAGTCGACAATCATTTTATCTTCCGTTGTCTACCTACGCCGGAAAGGTTGAAAGAAAACCACGAAATACCTGTTAGAATTGCCAATGTCCTGACCGAGACTGGAACCGGTTACCTCCCAAATACAAGTCAAAGACTCCACTAGCGCCTTGTCTCTCTCCTCCGTCATAACATTGTCAAATACCCATAATATGACTTAACGTCCTTCTCTGTCAGTGGATGTAGACACATGTTCTCAGTACAGTTACGCAAGTACATTGGTATGTGCACATGTGGGTGTGTTTATGTTGCCTTGAAATAATTAGTTCTTGCATATGTGAATGTTTACAAATTTCTTCATGTTGGAAGGACGTTTCCTTTCAGTGGCAGTAGCGTTGTGTTATTAAATATACAGGATTAAATGTGTAAGAAACGGCAGAATTTGGGTGGGTTTTAAAGGTGCTGAAGGAGAGGTCAAATAAATTACCCACCGACCTTGTACTTTTAGCTGCATTCGAGCTTGGGGTCTGGGTCAATAGATATACTGCAGTATTATGTCAGTGGCCGCTGCCGACTCAGGAAACGGCGCCATGTTTAATGGCCATATCGAACATCCATACTTATAATTATTCGTTGTTGAGCGGGTAGCGTGCATTGGCTCAAGCTGTTTCTGAAATATCGAGTTACTGGGAAATGAAACAGTATGAGACAGTGTTATCGTAATTATCGTAGCAGAAGACACTAGGATAAGGTGTCCAGAATATCGACTTACTGTAGCGCACCACAGCGTAAGACAGTTATGGCCGTAATCTGTTCGTAGTACACTGTAAGGCATAATTTCAATATTAAATTACTGTATCACAAATCCGAAACCGATTAATAAACATAATGTCTTTGTTGTGGGACTGTAATCCTCGTTTTCCTTAACTGGATCATGTATGACGCTCAAAAAAAAAATCCAGGTCACAGTTATAAGTATTGTGACGTGTATACCCATTACTAGGCAACGACTCGTTAAATACGTGCCCGCGGTAAACACGCCTCAACAATAGAGAGGCTGTTTTCGATGTGGCCCACGCCGCAACCGTTGCTATGCAATGATGCGGTAAACACGCCTAAAGCAATGCGGGCAATAGAAAACGGTGTTTCACATGGAGTCCGCGCAAAGTGATTATAAAGACGAATTCAATTGAACAGAACAGAGTCGAGTTTCGAGAGGCCAGCCTGCACGGATGTATGCTTGGGAGCAGATGAATTGAATCGAGTGTTCGGAATTGGCAGCTGCAGAATAATGCAAGAAGGGAATTAGGCTGTGAAAAGAAGATTTCATGTGTGATTTGAAGTGACAGTGAGACTTGTTATGAAATCCGTTGCCAGGATACGACTAGTGAAGACTGAGAATCCTAATGTATGTGCAGGGTGAACTGTAATGTGTGCAGAATAGCGATAGCGCCGTATTGCCTGTAGTCCCGAGTTGTGTGAATAAGGCGTTGATTAATCGAATCAGCCAATCCAAATCCCCGTCTTATAAGTCACGCGGAAACTCCTACACGTAACAATATATTAGATTGCAGACAATTCCGTTATATATGTCGCTACGAGAATAAATAAAGGGAGCGTAATTTACTTAAATCTAAATTAATTTTAGAGATTAGGAATGCATGGAATTTTTCTGCCACTTCCCACTACGTCCTCATGGCATGATCTTTAAGTACAGGGACAAGTTTACCTCTGCCTTAACCTTATGTCAGCGATTAAACACTAAAAATATTGAATCTTGGAAGGATAGCAAGATGGATCACAGGCTGCTTTTGATGTCCGTTATCTGGTTTCACAGATGTAACATATGGACAGGCACACGTGATCTCTTTATTGTGGGTTTTGCTCAAAGAACGTTAATAAAAATTGTAGTAAATTCTAACGCATCATTTTGTATACTGTATTGCATAGGTCTGCGGTTGCTGTAAGCTGTGTCATGAATGGACATAACGAGTGCTATTGTATCATCCGAACTGGGTCAGAAGGACTAATAGACTAGATCACTGGGCCAGCGCTCTCATCTTCTGAGATGGTAGCCGATTAAACTGCAGTATGAAGGCAGTACTGTACCATCTTTTCCCTAACCCAACCGACCATTTCAACAGAGTTACCCGCTTTGATTAATTAGTTTTTGTAATTGCTGAATTGTGTTCTTACTTCTTGAACCTTTGATTTAAGATTATTTGTTATTATTTGTTCTCTTTCTGGATATTTTAGCACATGTCCTGCTGGTCATGGTAGCAGAGAGGTCTGAGCCATGAACTGTCTTCGCTCGCTTTGAAGCCAGCATTGTGGGTTCGAATCCCACACAAGTCATGGGTGTTTGGTATGTGTTTTGTTCTGTGTTTAGGTAGAGGCCTTGTATGAGGGGTAGGCCTTCTCGGCCCTTGCACCGCGACCTACAGTGGTCTATTGTGCTTTAGGTAGAGGCCTTACAACGAACTGATCACTCATCCAAGGAGTCCTGCTGTCTGTAGAATGATCCTGAAACTGAAAATCAGAGGCCAGGGCCCAAGGGGTTGTAGAGCCAGCGAAAAAAAAAAATATTCTAATCCAGTGGCTTCAGCATTTGTACAGTCTTTAATCCAGCATTAATGAGGATTTGAATTAAGTGGTTAAGTGAAGTATTGTCAGAATATTTTTCTTTCCTTGGCACTACAGCCCCAGTGGGCCTAGGCCTACCTCCGTGAACTTCTCCGTTCACTTCGGTTTTTCTAGATTACACATTCGGTAAGACTCCCTGGGCGGGTGATCAGCTCGTCGCAAGGCCTCTACCTATACACAAACACAGAAAAACGCACACAAACTAAACATCCATTCCCTGAGTGGGATTCGAACCCACGATCCCGGTTTCCAAGCGAGCGAAGACAGTGCACGCCATAGACCGCTGGGCTACCGTGACCGGCCCATTGTCAGAATACGTATATAGTAAGAAAATCTTGCATTTATTCTGCTGGATTTATTTGTAGGTTATTTAACAAGACTCTTTTAACTGTAACCGTTAAATCTTTTTGAATGAAATGCAGGCAAAATCAAGCATATTGAATCTGGAAGAATTTGTGAGAAAGTTAGTCCCGAGGAGTGTCTAAATGAAATTGCTGAAGGAAATGTAGGAACAACTTGTCAGGACGACCAGTTCCTGGGTGAGGTTTATTGCTTCCTGCGAATAAGTCAGTCACGTTATGCTGAGTTCCTTTCTTAATAAAGGGGAACAATTAGTTGTATCTGTAGAAGTGATTTATCCTATTTAGAAAAAGCAACAGACAATATTGACCATAGAAAGCTTGTAGTTCTGATTACTCCACTTTTACAATCGCTGTGGCTCAGAGCAAGTTGGGATAATGATAGAAATATAGACTTTTATTTATGAGATGCTCGGTTCATATCTTCAGTTATTCAGTTATTCAGTATTGAGGGGGTGGGTTACCCCATGCACCGCGACCAGTTTGATCTATTGTGCGTTCCCCTTTGAATTTCTACTGTCTCCATACCTTACCGGTACTGGTGCTTGCTATCGTTCCCTTTCTGGCAGCGAGGTTTCGGCCTTCTACTGGCAGTGGTATCTGATAGTTAGTCCCTTTCTGTCAGTGAGGTCGTCCCTCCTCTGGCAGTGGTACCTAAGCTCCCCCATTGCATTGGAAACTACTTGGGCGGGAAATAGCCTAAATTTAGCTCAGAGGTCTCCTAGAGACATGAGGTTCGTATCTCAGTCAGGCTACCAGCAATCCTGACTGAGGTTCTTCGTGGTTTTCTTCATTCCGTCCAAATAAATGCTGGGATAATACTCCATTAGACCGTGACTGCTTTCTTCCAGATCCTTTTCTGTTCGTTATTAACCAGTCATCCACAGTATATAGTCTGAGATACTTGCAGTGTCATTAAAAGAAATCACAAAATAAAAAATGATAGACCCTCCTGATGCCCTGTCTGTTGTTGGTATGTTACTGTCAGGAAATAAAAAAATAGAGGCATCGGGTCATTTCAGAATGCTGATAACCTGCTGCAAGACTGCACAGTGCTAAAAGAAGAAGAAGAAGAAGAAGAAAAAAAAAACGCCGTTGCATTAGTCCGCAAGCGAACTATACCGACCGAGCGACCACCGCTTGTCGGCGAAGTTAGTGCCAACTTCAACAGATAGAGGTGTCACATAGGCAGTGTACGTAGTCCCCACGGCCATTAATTTCGGTTTCTTAGACCGGAACCGCTATTTCCTTGAAATAACTACTCAGGTATCCTCACGAGGCTGAGTGGACCCTGTTCCAGACCCACTACTTCTCAGAAAATCTGGAAGCGCCGGGAATCGAACCTGGGACCTCTGATCTGTAGTCAGGAACTCTGACCACTAGACCACAGAGGCGGTCATAAGAAGAAGAAGAAGAAGCTCCACAAACAAAATTTTCACCTCCGTTAAAACTTTAAATCTTATTAAGGTTAGAGGTGATATGTGATAGCAGGATATTTAAAATTCTTTATTCCCTGCGAATGAACTGATGCCTCTGAATTAAAGTATTGCGTGCACCCATTTTCTAGCAAGAGATGTAGCACAGCTGTTGCCAGGTGTCAAGGGTTAATGAGATGATGTTGATAACTAACATGTGCTGTATTTTAAAGTGAGATACACCATTGAAAATAGTATTTCATTAGCTTTCAATAAGCATAAAATGAGTTTGTGGCTTAAGCGGGACTGAAATAAATTGTAAGGGACTTGTGCAAAAATTTTTTTTTTTTTTTTACCGTTTTTGAAGCCTTGCTGCTGAATTGATGTAAGACACAGGAACTAAAGTTAATTATATTGTGCTGAAGCATCCTGTTGCACTGTGTATTCCGGTTCTAGGATCCACACTTCACTCTCTGTGTTCAAAATACAGCAGCATAACAGCAGGTTTAACTACAGTCAGATACACACTGAAACGATACTTAAATACACATTCATTCTACTCTGTTGATGAATAGCTATTGTCTAGAAAATAACACGTATCTTTAAATAGCTTTGTGTGTAGTCACTGTATATTCTTGGTTTCTCTTGTGTGAGAACTCCATTGGGTCTGTACATATGTTTTGTATTTATATGACATATTCCACATCTTACAGTCATTTTGACTGGGGCACGCTGTAGTGTAGTTGGTTGAGGCACTATGCTACAAGCCGGAAGGTCACGGGTTCAAGTCCCGAGGAGGTCATTGGATTTTTTTCAATTGACTTAATCCTTCTGGCTGCACTATGGCCCCTGGGGTCGACTCAGCATCCAATAGAAATGAGTGCCAGGAATTAATTAAATAATTTTCCTGGAAGTAAAGTGTGGCCAGCGCATAAGGCTGACAACCTTACCGCCATCTTTGAGCCGATTGTTTAGCTAATATGGGACCCTCAACGTCTCACAACCCTATGGGCCTTCACGGTCTGTTACAGGGATAGCTTTACTTTTTTTACTTTTACAGTCATTTTGACTAATTTTGGATCCATGGAATGCAATGCAATGCAATGCAATGCAATGTAATGTAATGTAATGCCCATTAGGCCGAAACATGTAGTATAAAATAAATTAGAAGAGACAAAGAGACGTAATGTCTCAGTTCAGTATATGGACAGAGTTGTACAGAGAGGGTGAAGTGAAAACCCTAAAAAAAGGAACTAAACCCTTGGCAGGAAGTCTTTTCTTTGTAGTCAATGAACCCATTAGGTTTCATGGAGATCTTACATGCAGCCTCTGTTTGAGTTGGCATATGATAATCCATAAACGAGTTAATTCACAGTATATGTAATGTTACTGTGTTGGCTGTGTTGATTAGCATGAGCGAATGTTAATGTGTGCTCAATTGGTAAGGCCTAAAATAAACCTTAAGAAACCTTAGCCATAATATGAAGTCAGTGTCCCGAAGATACTCAACTAACCTGGTTAATGCTGTAAATGAGATGGACGTAGGGGGAACGGAGTTGCCACATTTTGTTCTTCCATACAGAAACTGTAAGATAGACCCTCTTGATGTTGTGTCAGTGGTTCCTGTACTCCTGTGAGGAAACAGAATCAGTCATATAATTATATACAAAAGTAGTAACAGGCAGAAATAATAACAGTTTTAGAGCTGCCTTGTGTTGCATTGTTACAGCATCTGGAGATAATGTGTAGCTGTGTACCTAGCCGCTGCGCCCTGGATTAGAGGCTAGTGTCTAACCTCCCTTGTTGTTCATAAACCGTGTGATCCTCAGGGATCAGAGGAACAGGGAGGGGCAGGCAGTACAAACATCTCCCAGAAATGTTCTGACTGGGCCAAGTTCTTGCTAGGTTTTCATGTGATTCCATTGATTACAGCTTCTGTGCTCAGTGGTGTTACTGGAAGTAGGGATGACTTACTTGTTACAGGATTTTCTGTGCTTTTATGTTATGGATACTGCCTTGTAAACGTTATAGCACAGAGTACATAATCCCAGATTGTTATTTTTATACACACTGTATTTGGGTATAATGCAGATGTCTTATGCCAGCCATATTTTGAGTCTGTTCCAGCTTTAAACTCCAGAACCCCACATCAGGTTTCAGTGCTGTTCTGTGTGGAGAGTCCTTATTAACATTTATTTGAAAACCTAAAAGAAATTTATGTTTATATGATTGAATAGACACCAAACCAAAATTTCTGGTTTAAATTGTACTTTTCTGGATAGTTCATGGTTTTATAATTGATGTAAATTACTTTTCTCCTCGATGTGATAGAAATTTTCAGACCGAACATTATTACACACTTTAGAAAAAACTTATTTCACAGTTGTATAATAGTTGGCCTGAAATATAATGAAGTATATTTTTTTGTGTTCATTTAAAGGTTTATTACTATTGTCAGTTCATTATACCAATATTTTGTTGCATATTTTCTGTTCATTGTCTTAGCTCTCTTTCATATGTGACATGTTTGGCATCTGAATATACTCTCACAGGTTATCGTTGTGATGACAGTATTCTGCCCAATCCATGACGTCAAAACATATGATTTAATAACAATTAAATATATTGTTAACATGACCTTCCTAATCATATGCGTTTATTTTCTCGTAAACTGTTATCATATTTTCCAGAATATGAGATGCACTTTTTTTATGAAAACTTCTATCTCAAATATTTGTGCGACTTATTCTTCATTGTGCTTTGCAGTTCAGAAAATATGGTACTTAGAGCTTACCAGAAGTGCACTACTGACAGGGGAAAATGTGTTACTTCCATAGACAAAAATGTATGTAAATAGTACTGGGGTCTGTGTCATCATTTCAGATTTGTTGTTCTAATGATTGAGCTTTCTTGTTTTTTTTGACAGAGGGAGCCAGTGAAGTTTGATGTCCATCTTCGGGGGGCTCCAAATGAGGTAGTGCAGCTGGTACAAAATATCAAGGATGTAAGTTTGTCATGTTTTATGTTTAAATATAAAAATACTTATCAATTTCATTCTTTAAAATGGGAAAAAAGAATATCTATACAGATTTAAAATAAATTCACCTACATTTCACACAATATACCAAAATATGTTTACAAAATGATTTATTCACTTTGGTTAATCTCTTATGCCAGAAAAAAATATTTTGTATTTTAAATGCTAAAAAGCATTTTTATTGGAGTAGGTGTTGACTAAGACCCCAATTTTCTTGGAGTACAGCTTGAAAACAAGTCTTTCTCCTTGGTCAATGTGTCTTCAAATATTGCCTTGTAATCTGAGAGGCTTCACATTTTAAACCCTTTTTGCAGTAACTCCAGGTACTGAAAATGCTCCCCCCCCCCCTCCATCTTTAAACTAATTCTTTAAATGCATTCGAAGCATTGTAATCTAACGGCTTTGAGTCTGGAGAATTTGGTGGCCATTATGTAGTTACGACAAATTCAGCTGCCATGTGATCAGGCACTTTCAAAGAGCAGATAATATGAATGTATTAAGAATGTGTTTTTAACATTCAGAATGGAGAATATTTTTCTATGTAATGTATTAACCAAATTTAATAAATCTTTTTATGCATATATTTAGGTGTGTCACGTATAACTTTTCAGTCCAGAACCTTTTGTCTTCTCATCTGCTGTCTAAAAACATAAAAATTAGAATATACAAAACTGTAATTTTGCCTGTGGTTCTGTATAGATGTGAAACTTGGTCTCTGACATTAAAGGAGGAACATAGACTGAGGGTGTTTGAGAAGAGGGTGTTTAGGAGAATATTTGGACCGAAGAGAGATGAAGTGACAGGAGGTTGGAGAAAACTGCATAATGAGGAGATTTCATAACTTGTACTCTTCTCCAAGTATAATTAGAATGATCAAGTCAAGGAGGATGAGGTGGGCAGGTCATACTTTTTTAATTAATCCTGTGCAGTATGTTTTTGAATGGTACTGGGTACAATAACCAATACAGCATGTAAGGAGCAGACAGTGAAGGAATAAATCTAAATTGCATAATAAAGCAAAATGTGCCTGTACTTTGCACAGATGGCAACTGTTGGTGCACATTTCGTTAATTATTCAATTCTGTTTTATGTCTAGATGTGCAGTGAGATAAACATTTTATGTTCCTCTTGGGAACAGTGGTTACTAATCATGTAACTTCTAGTCAAGAGCATGCAGAGGGAAGGTTATAGGCCATGTATAACCATGATAGGTGTGCATATATCCTGTGAGAGTTAAACATTAACTTAAAATTTAGGCCGCGCCATAGCTCAAGCAGTTAGTCGCTGGCTTCCCACCGCGGCGGCACAGGTTCAATCCTGGGTCTGGTCAAATGGGATTTGTGATGGACAAAGTGGCACTGGGGCAGGTTTTCTCCAAGTACTTCAGTTTCCCCTGCCAATCTTCATTCCACCAATTGCTCCACAATCACCCTCACCTATCATCTGGGGCTGGTACAATAGGCGAGAAATGACCGCAGTACAAGGGATTTAGTGCCACCCCACTAGCAATAAAAAAAGAACTTAAAATTTAATAATTTTCTTGTATACATACAGGCTTATTGGATGGCCACAAATTGATTTGAATATTACTGTCTTTTGGGATACGATGTGATGTAGTTTGTTAGATCAGTCCTAATATTTTGGGAGAATATGCTCTCTTCATTCCACAGGGTAGAAGTGTTCCCTGAAGATGGAGGCAGCATGTTCCTGTAGAAGGTCAATAATGATCAACCATACTACACAACATTAATCCCAGAAGACAGTAATCTTCATAGTCCCTATCATAGGATCTTCAAATTTAAATATTCTTTACTGTCAGTTCAGTACTGTGTCTTTCACTCTTGTCGTTACAGTGGAAGATCAGAAAAATCTGTTGAATGGTAAGTGTTGTATGTCAATGGTTAGATGACTTAAATGGAAAGAATTTAACTTGAGAGAATTGGAAGATGATATAGAAATTAAGCCTGAACAGGTAAAATCTTAAATCAAGAAATATTAAATAAAATTTTATTACCATGGTTTATGCTAACTGTCTTACAGTGTATACACTTTTTCACCTTATTCTTCACTTCCACACTACATGTTTCAGCACTAATGTGCCAACCTTAGGTGTCTTTATGCACATTAAACTATTGTACTGCATGCCATGATGTCTTCATTCTAAAATGACTAAAAACTGTATTCATCATATATGACAATGAATTCTAAATAATAAAACTTTTCAGGATTCATCCTACATCACACTCAAACACGTGAATTACGCCATTCCTCTTTTATGTGTAATTGGCTTAATTCACGTGTTTGAGTATGATGTAGGATGAATCCTGAAAAGTTTTATTATTTTGAATTCATCGACAGACACCTGAGGATGGCACATTAGTGCTGAAACATGTAGTGTGGAAGTGAAGAATAAGGTGAAAAAGTGTATACACTGTAAGACGGTTAGCATAAACCCTGGACATGAATCAGTGTAACAGGACGCTAAAATATAACATTAAAAATTTTATTATATATAGATATTGTTCCTATAGTAGGCATTGCCTGTAATTCATCCAGTACGTAAATATAAGGTTAAGTGTAATGTTTCAGGTTGCAGAACAGTTCCTGTACCACTGGAAGACATTTCCAATCGTCCTGCCACAACCTCTCACTGTATCAAGCCCACCTGTACACCAGCACCAACATCAGAATTCGACAGGAGGGAACAGCTCTGAGCTCAATGGGAGCAATGTTGCTGGATCGACTGATAACAATGGCTCATCACTATCTTTGGCACGAAGAAGCAACAAACACCTGAATATGCGTGATCTGTTTCTTGCGCCATCATTTGATGAACTTGATGCAGTTGCTGTTGACTCTAAAGGAGAGCCAAGGAGACTCAGCAGTAAGCAACTTGAGTATATCAGAGAAAGGGGGTAAGTCAGATGATCTGTATATATTGTTTTCTGTAGACTTGGCCAGTGTTTGCTTCTTTTATGTTTTAATGTAAAGAAACTGTTGTAGTTCTTTGCAGTGCTCATGCTATTTTAAATGGAGTATATAAGCAGCAGATGGTCGTCATCTGAGTCACATTTTGGAGGTACCCAGTTTGAATACCATCTGATGACCAGCTGTTCTGACTGATGCCCTTCATGGTTTTCCTCAGTTTTCTAGGATAGGTCAATGATAGTATGTTGAAATCGCCACAGCCACTTCTCCATAATTTCCATTCTGAAATATTTAACTATTCTCTTATTCCTAGCAGTGCCAGTTGTTGGAGAGGGTGGGTTTCCCCATGCAGTTAGACCAGATATTGGTCCATTGTGTGTCCCCCTGTGATATTCTACCAGTCTCTATTCCCTACCGGTACTGGTGTGTGCCATCAGTCCTGACTCAGCCAGCGAGTTCAGCCTCTACTGGCTCAGCGGTATCTCGATGCTTCCCCCATCTACCAGAAGCGTTAGAGACTACTGTTCGGCAGGAAATGTCCTAATTTTCGCTCAGAGGTCCCCTTGGGATATGAGGTTGTTTTACATGCCACAAATCTACGACACGGGACCCACGGCTTAAAGTCCCTCCCAGAGGACTTATTCCCTGAATTTTTCCGCCCTTAAAAATTCCACGACCTCCGCCTGGTTTGAACCTGCGTACCTTGAGTCATGAGGTGGGAACGTTACCCCTAGACTACGGAGGCCGCTTACCAGTGCCAGTTACTAAGGGGTCTATCTTATAGGGCATAATTCCATATTGCCCATTGAAAGTCCACTGACATTTCAGAGGATGTGTCACCTCCATCCTCAGGGTCTTTGTAATCAAAAGAACCTGTTTGTAGACAAAAGAAATCAGATAGCTGAGTGTAAAATTTGTATTTAAAATGTGTTTTTCTTTACATTGTCCATCCTATACTTATATAACAGTTTTTTAATTTACTAGCGAACTTGTTTGAACTGTGATCGGAGTGCCACTGACAGTGAATGATGGAGGTAAAATGTGTCTGCTAGTGAACTGAAGTGAAAATTGTTGTGAGAAGTGAAGATGGATAGTTAAAAGANGTCAGCAAGTCATGGAAGCCTCTCATCTGTTCCCTCAAGAAACCTCCAGGACATGATGCCAGATCCACAAGGCCATGCAAGTCCATGCCCAACACGCATAGCAACCCCGAAGCTTTAAGGTTAATACCCTCCCATTAACCTTGCCTTTCTCTGCCGACACAATATTCTATACCTGCTCTAGCCTGTTACCTGCTGGCCCACCTCCCCAGACCCTTCCCCTCTCCTCTCTACTGATTTCCCATGTAGCCCCTCTTCCTGCTCTTATAGAGCTCGGTTTATTCTTGACATTAGTCTATTTGCACCTGCTCATGCTGGTTCTTTGCTTGCGGATTTTCTTCTTCTTTCTTCTACCCTGAAGATGGAGGCGATACGTTCCTCCGAAACATCGGTTAACACAATATCTACACGGTGCCATATCCCAGAAGACTGCTTTCTTCATAGTTGTCACCGTGAAAACCTAAAATCTCTAAAGAATTATTTTAGTTTAGGTCCTATGTAACTTTTCTTTCTACAAATAATAACCAAAATATAGTCAGCACTTATCCGCTCCTGAAATTGTGATATTCTGACTAGATACAAATGCGATGTTATTACACTCAGTAATATTGTAACAAATAACAATTTTGCAGTGATGTCAATACCACAAATGCATTATTATACCTGCAGTGTGATGGGTGACAGATACACAGTAAGGACCATAAATAAATATATAATCTCTTCATATTGTGAGGATACTTGAATTAAGGAGTTTATTGTAAGAGGGACATGCAGTTTGGATGGGGAAAACTAGAAGCGCATGAAAGTCTGGTGATGAAACTTCTTTATAAAATGCCACTTTTGAAGGCTGAAAGTTGTATATTGGCCGGAAATTTAGTAAATAACTTTTTTCATATGCGTGTATTATATAATGTTAATGAGAAATAGTGTGATGGTATGACTAAAGTTAGAAAAGATGTTAAAGGAATCAGTTATAGATGCTTTAAGATGATATCCCAACATTTGCCCAGAGAAATTTATTGGGATGTCTTTATAATTGGAACTTTTGGTTCTGTTGACTGAGGATAACCATGAGAACCTTCAGTTAGGAATGCTGGTGTCCAGTATATTTTCTTATTATAGGCTTAAGCTTTGAAACCCAGACTGCTTTAAGGTACAGTTTGATCGCTTATTCGCAAGACCTTAAGAAAAACTGAAAAGCTTGTTAGACAGGGTCTTTGCAAAATACATCCAAAAGTATAGTGACAAATGATTGTGAGAAATCTTGTCACATGGATAATTGAACAGGGCCTTCGAAGACTTCCGTCTTCTATTCATGAGTTGCAGCATTTAATTCCCAATTTGTTACCTACTATATATATAACATAAAAGATCCCAGTGCCTGTAATAAAGATTAAATTTAAAAAATGTAATATTTTGTCTTAAACCACCATTTCTGCATAAATTCGGCTTTTTACTTAACCAAATTGCGTAGGTTGCGCAAGAAGTGAAATTTAGAGGTTTTAAATGGAATAATAACTGTGACTGTTATTCTGCTATCAGTCAACAACATGGTGGCTATATGTATAGTCTTTATATTGTGATTTAATTGAATTATTATGGTTCTAGGTGAAAAAATTGTTAGCTTTTAAACGTTTCAGGAATATATGAATGATTGACTGAACTGTTTAGATATTGGTAATGACATTATTAATGTTATATAAGCTAGAAGTGTATCATACCTATTAAGGATGGTAGATTTCTATAGTTCTGATTATCAAATTCAGTTTAAGTTGGGAGTTTAATGAACCTGTCAGTATCAAGACTGTATAATGTTGGATGATCAAATGATTAATGAATGTGAAGCAATTTATAGACTGAAAATTAGCAGGGCAAATCAAAGTACTTGGAGAAAACTCACCAAACACCACTTTGTCCTCCGCAAATCCCACATACCCTGGCCTGGGATTGATCCCATCCCACCACAGTGGGAAGCCAATGATTAACTGCCTGAGCTATGGCTTGAGTGGTCTTAGGGTTTTAATTACAGTATATGTTAGCTAGTCTGGTGTATTGAACATGCTAGGGGCAATGAATGCCGATCACAGTGGCCATGTGGTCTGAGGCATGAACATGTTCGTCCGTTCAGACACTAGGACCATGGATTAGAATCCCACTTGAGGCATGGATGTCTGTGTATATTTATTTTGTGTTTGTGTTGTTATGTCGATAGGTAGAGGCCTTGTGATGGGCTGATCCCCTGTCCAAGGAGTCCTCCCGACAGTGTGTAGGGATAAGAAACTGAAAAGCATCCAAAGCCCACCATGGGACTGTAGAGCCATAGATAGATAGACAGGTAGATAGATAGGAACAGTAAGTATGGAAGTGTGGGTGGTATGACGTTTCGCAGGAGGAAACCAAAAAACTTGCGTTTATTTAATTACACAGTGTCAACTATAAAAGTTATTTCAAATTAAATGAGATTGTGAGTAACGGTGGAAGAAACACTGCGACAAGAGGCTATGGACTTTACTAGCATTTATGCCTGGAGTGGCTAAGGAACAAAACATGTCAGTTAGAATAACTGGTACTTTAGTTAAGTTTCAAAACTTTCCCCAATGCTACCTTTGCCACCACAAATCCCCTGTTGCCTATGCTGGAACTAAAAGTATATGGAGAAGGCAGTATCTATTTATGTGAGTTATGGTGTGGCCTCAGGTGCACTATACCATCTGTTTTATTAACCTTGAGCTGTGATAGATCATGTAGTAATGGCCCAAAGAAACGAGGTTAGATTTCTGCCAAGGGCAAGAGAGTTTTCTCTCCACAATATCTGTACTGGCTTTGGGGTCCACTCAGCCTCCCATCAAGTCAGAATTGGGGTCTGCTTACCTGAGACAAAAGCTGCTGGGGTGTCAAGTTAAACACTCACCTCCATCTAGTACCAAAGTTGAAAATGCATTGAGCTCTACCTCTACTCCCTATATTTCTTCAGGGAATGGTATTTAGTTAATCACAGGGACAACTTTACTTCGCATATGAAATGAAAATTTTGTCCTACATGGAAGTTAAAGGTCAATTATATCCTTTATTTTGTCACATCATAGATGTTGTCTTACTTCGCAGTGAAGTTTCTTTTTCTGCATATAACAAGTTGAGTGATTATTGTGAAAAAAAGATCTTATTTTATTTAGAATCCCCTGTGTGTGTTATTGAACCAGAATAATATGAGTAAGTTTCTTCATTATAGTGTGTAATATTGCTTTTTCCATTATTTCCTTGTTCATATTCACAATATATGCTCCCTACAACCAGGCACAGGAAATCCGTGCCATATGCAGAAATATCTAAATGTATCTGCGTGGTAAAATTTATGTAACTAGCCTGCAGATTATATTTTGAGCATATGCATTTTCAGTTATAGGATATTTGAATGTTCAGCTTTTGTACATCGTTAATAAAATAACTAATTGGCTTTATGTTGCATATGTGTGTGTGAGAAATATGTGCTCCATTATATTTAACAATAAACCTCTTTAGTTCAGGTTGTTTGAATTTCATACAGAATTTGAGAAAGAGCGTGCAAGTCCGCCCCCCCATTAGATCCATATTTTCAGATTCTGTATCCATCACAGTTTATTTATACCCATGTTCACTGGCATAATTTATGCATTACATGTGTACATTAAAAAATATATTGAGGCATGTACAAAGTTGTTTTGTTTATGTACCACATGTAATATTTGTGTATTCAACCAGACTCCAAACATTTTAATCACATTAATGTTTTGATTGGTGCTTGAAGTTTAGATTTTATTTTAGTGTCACATGTGTAGGAACAGATGGAGCCACCAGTGTTATGAAATATCTTTGCCACTCAGAAAAATTTATGTTTCTCTTGTGCCTTGTTACTTAAACTTTTCTGTATCTACTTATATATTGACCTTTTCAAGAACAATAAACAGGCTTCCTTGCTTAAATAACCCATTAGTATATCTTCTGGTGCAATATTTAGATAAGTAAATGTGAATCATGCCATATTTGATTATGTTGTGTAATGCAATGCAGTGCAATGTAAAAAAATTGTGATTCATGAAGTATAAATTGCTCTTGTTCCAGTTCACAGTAAATCATTGTGTTTAAACCGAATAGAATTATGTTGAAGGGAGAGGATGTTCATATGTAATAGTTTTATTTTGTTGTTTCAAATCCCACACATTTGCTGGTATTTATGGTTATAACGAAGAGGGAAGAAGATAAAGGAATATATGAGTCGGGGAGTGTGGGCTCAGTTTGAAACACTTCCAGGAGAATTTAACAATGTGCAGGCTCTGAATTCAAGTAAAATATAGGCACAGAATGATCCAGTTCAACTGCATTTTGAATTTCACACAAACCTTTCTCATATTTTAAGTTGTTAACTGAAATTTGTTGCAATATTATCTTTCACATGTTCAAACGTGCTAATATCCATATTATATTTAAGCATCCTGTTGCACTATACACTTCTATATGTAATACAAAGTATTAAAGATGTTAACGACACACACACAGGGAGCCTGCACACAATAATACACGAACGGTGCTGAAAACAAGAAATAGCTGCTGCAGCACATGTAGACAAGAGCAGGCGTCCCTGGTATTTAAAACTTTAAATTTTAAATTTTAAACTGGAATGCTAAAAATCAGATTGACAAGCATGTGTTGGCGTGATTTTAAAACAAAACTGACAGGCTGATGTTTTAGATTTTTGACTGTGTGCAGTGTGACAGCTACGTAGTGAAAAATACACCTGGTGGTGGCCAATTATGGCGGAAACATGTAGTATAGAGGAAGAAAAGACAAAGATCTACAACCAAATAAATTGTTGCATTCACAAGGGCATTTATATTATTACATATAGAAGTGCTAATATCTGTTAGACTATCATTGTTCTCCTGTCAGTTTGAATGAATTCACTCTTTTGACCTTTGAACAAAACATTTTGGTTATCCACATCATGTATCATCATCATATACCTCTGAAATATCGGTCTTTCTGTGAATTACACAGCATTATAACCCAGAATACTTGTGGGAGTCAGAAATTTTCTTTCTGTACATAGGTAGGGAAAGTATACAAATTTTTAATTTAGAAGTCAGTAAAAAAATACAGTTCTACTGGAATGATTATTTATGTATTCCAGTGAGTCTGTTCTAAAGAAAAAGGCAAAGCTTTCCCTGTAACAGGTCATGGAGACTCTTAGGTTTGTGAGATGTCGAGGCTTCCACATTTTCAAGATACTCAGCTCACAGATGGTGGTGAGGTTGCCAACCTTCTGAGCTGGCTGCACTTGACCCCCAAGAAGATTCCTGGTACTCATTTCTGTTAGAGGCTTAGTCACCCCCTGGGGCCATAGTGCAGCTGGAATGATTAGATAAAATAAAAAAAAAAGTCCAACGACCTCATTGGGAATCGAACCCGCAACCTTCCTGTTTGCAGCATAGTGCCTCAAGCAATTACACTACCGCGTGCCCCATAGAATCTGTGTTATTTACTATATACTTGATCAATATAACTAAAGGTAATTTTAAAGAATTAATTTTTAGAGACAAGTATTATTTGTTCTGAAGCATGGTCTGGCTTCTGGTTGCTGCATGAATGTCAGTCATACAGGCCTAATCATCTTTATCATTTGTATCGCAAGCCACAGAGTAAAAGCTGATAAGAGAATAGACACAAATATATGCTGGATTAGTATATAACCAGTCACCATATTCTTACTATTTTTCTAATTCAGACTTTTATTATTTTGTGATGAAACTGTGAAAGTTATACAGTTTCAGTTTGAGGTTGCTTTCCATAAATGCTTCCATGGCTAGATTAGGTTAGTAAATATCTTGGAGCATTATTGTTTAAAAAGGTGGTGATTCCTAAAATCCACCAAGCATTCTATGTAATATGTTGTGAATATGGACAAAAAGAATCCATTCTTGCATTGTATACCAAGGTCTTCCAATTTCTATTACTGTAGTGTTGTTTTGTATGTATGTCTTATACCATATTTTTTTGTTTCCTTCCTTTCTTTCCATCACTGAAAAGCTTACACAAGGATAAATATGGAAAGCCGAAGAAATTGAGTGCTACTCAGTTGGAAAGTATTCGACGTTGGGGGTACGTTTTCAACAGAGAGATCACTGTATACTAAAAAAAACTACATGTGTGAAAGAAGTTTATGTGGATTGATGATAACAAAACTCAAATTCTGGACGCAGGGCCCCAGTAACCGCAGTAATAAGAGAATGTGGCATGTCTGGGGAATATTATTAATCTTATTTTGAATTCCATAATGTTTTTGTGTCATCCACCAGACTGTAATTATATTTCCACTTTTACAGTTTTAATGCTTAACAGGAATTTGTACAATTCAGGCAGTAATGCAGTTCTCCATTTTTATTTGTTTATTCAGTTTAATCAGATAGCAAAATCTATGTTAACATAGTGTTATAAACACATCATTTTTTTTTTAAATGTCCATGTTTCAGCCCTTCTATCAACATTCTTGTTTTGATGCAATAAATACAAGTGAAATACACATATGATTTTAGACATGGCCTCTGGATTGCATGTGAGGAGAGGTATAGAAAGAAATAGCAGGGCAGTAGTTGTAGGCAAAGTGATGCAATGTTATTAAGGCCCTGTCATAACTTGTGCTTGCTTTACAGTTATCTCAGTTAATGAACTTGACTGTATCCACTGTGCATTCTGTTCAGAATGATCTGGTATAAAAACTTGGACGAAATACTGCTGTAATCCACGATTCATGTTTACAGTAGTACAGCATTCACCAGTGGATTGTGCAGGGTTACATATGTCATAATACTAGCAGTTATATGCTCAAATTAAATTAGGGTCTCAAGGGAAGTAATTAGAATGACAAAAGTTGAGGGTGGGCAATCAGTTTCTAGATTGTGGCCCAGAGAGGAGTGGCCTGTGTATCAAATGGACCTGTTCCATGCAAGCATTCATCAAGACCAATTCATCAGTTTATATATATCCATACTATACTTTATACAGAACATATCAGTTATAGAAGATGTGGCAAAAGTTATGGTAGTGCAAGCTAGTACTAATAAGAGCAGCACATACAGAGATCTCTGGAATTGGCTGTACTGTATGACTCACTTTAAGCTGAGCTTGTATTAACAGTATGAAAGTTTACTTATCATCTGCCGTGGAAGTAGATTCCAAGCATAGAAGTGTTGTAATTTGGTGGCTAAGGACAATTTTTATTTCATCTAGAAGTGTAATTATAACACGATTAAAGAAAACAGTTCCAGAATCTCCTGTATATCCTCATGATGTTAACTTCTGCTTATATCATATGTAGATAAACTATTTATGTATACTAACATAAAAAGCTGCTATTTCTGGAAGCTGTCTTTCCTGATCTAATTTAGTATTCTATTTCTGACACAATAGCACTGGCTATTCGGTATTGATTTTGTACCTCTTTTTAACAGAAGAAGTTTGAATTGGATTAGGTTTTATAAATGGAGGCATCAGCTACAATGGGTTATATTTTTTCAGGGTTCTTCCTGCCATAACGATTCTTGGAGCCTTGTATTATTAATTAAGAATTATAATTTGTTTGTGTGTTCTCATAAATATAGTATATATGAGAAGATTGTGCTAAAAATTGAGTGTGAGATTTTGACGGATTTATGCTTTTTCACCCCCCACCCCCAAATTATGAAAAAGCCTTCTGTCTGCATGCTGTTGGAGTGTGTGCATACACACATAAGTGAGTGGTTGTGTGGAGGTGGGGGTGTGTGCATGTGCGTGCACGCAGGAACACCTCAAGAGCATCTAAGGGCCCGAATGCGAAATTCCAGTTTTGCCAAAACCAGCTCTAGCAATGGGATGGATTTTATTATTCTTTAGCATTCAGAAACCAACAATGGTCAATGAAGCAATAGTCAGTTTTATTTTCAAGGTAACCTAGTCAAGGGCAGTCATATATATATGAAAGCATTGCAGTGTTATTTGCAATGGTTTTTTATGCACTTGTATTGGTATAAATGCCACAGTTAACACAGAAATAAATTAATTGTTGTCAAGTTTTATTCAAAAACTGTATTTTAGAAACTGTTTTTGGATATTGAGTTCTTAAAGGGAAGTGATTCGTCTTACACATGTTGTATCAACTGAGCAGTTAATCAAATTTCAAGTCAGTATTATTCCACATAACTCTCTCGGTACTGTTGAAGAAACAATAACATCATGGATGTGTCTTGTAAGTATATTTCACAAAATTTTCTAGTCCCTGCCTTGAATTTCCAGAATTGTTGCTCAGACTTGTTTGTAGCATATGAGCAGCTTTAGCTTTATCTTCATTTTCATAACATATTTGTTTATGTATCCTGTGACAATGAAAATTTGGAACCCAGCTGTTTTATGCATGGACAGGAAGTGCCTTAGAGTATGGCCCAAGAATAGTTGCTATTAATGTACAGTGTATCCTGAGTCAGTAAGGGAAGATTGTTTATTGTTGTACAGGAATAACAGGAGCTTCTGGAACCCTGAAGTATTGCTTGCCAATCATGAGCACTTTGATAATCCTGTAAACATTACCACAAACAGGGCCATGCAAGTGCAGAGTTTGATTTCTGTGCGAAGTGCAACGTCCCAGTTTGTCTGTATATGCCATTTCAGAATAAACATTTATTTTGCATCTGCCCCATGCCTTGTTTAGAAGCCATGTTCTTATTTTGTCATATGTGGAACTATGTATGTACCTAGTACTATAAATATTTTGAAGAGATATGTTAGATGGAAGAGAAATGTACTGTCAGCAATCAGTTACTTTAGGAATCGATTAAAATGGACAGTTGCCAGGGTGCCAAATGTTCTATAACTGCCAAAATGTCCAGCATGTTCTCAAAGAAAAGAAAACTGATCAGTGAACTAGGACTTCATATTAATTGAACTAACAGTTTGTTGTGGAATATCATCAGGAAATGGATAACATACTTTTTAGTTTAGCCTTCAGATCCAGTAGTTACACAACCCTGCTAGAAGGCATTGATAATTTATGTCATGATTAATTCCATACAAAAGCATAAAGTACATTACCCATCTCGTCCTTTTGAAACAGTGAACTGTTTTTGGTTTAAAATTCCATATGTTGATAGTAATTTCCTTGAGCTACCAATTACTTTTTGTTTTGAATTTGGAGTTCTTTTCAAGTCCTGCTTATGGACTTCCAGTTTTTAGCACTGATTGGAGTACTGCATTTGGTAGTATTATGTAATACATCTTTATATGCATGTAAATATAATTGTTTGGTTTGGTTAGTGGTAGCATGCTTTTAGTTAGAGTCTGGTAATAATGCTACTTCTTTTATTTACTTCAGGTAATGGTCTGTCTGTATTTTGTTTATCTCCTTGAACTTCATAGACTTATTTACTTTGTAGTTTTTGGAAGTAAAGTTTAAAATTCTAAACTAGATATACCTCATATTTAGTATATCTATGAATATATATATTAAAATTTAAGTAGGTTTTTACTAATGAAGTGTCATGTTAATTTTCCTTGTACAAATTATTGTAATTCATATTTTGAAAATGATTTAATGGAGCTGCAGGGTTATATATAATATATTTTTTATTTCAAAACTTCAATTTTTTCCTATGGTAAACTTAACAAGTAGAAAGTACCACCACTATCATCTTCTCTTTATGTTAGGTTACTAGTAGAAGTACCCCTCTTTACATCAGATATTACTGCATTCCTGAGCAATATGACAATATATAGTATCTGAAACCTAAATGAAGAAATAACACTGAAATACTGTGCTAATTGTTAATTAATATATGGTCATCATATATTTGGTTCTGTATTTAAAATCGAAACAAATAAACAGTTCCTCTTCTTTAGCTTTAGTACTACACTTCTCCTATAAAATGCTGTAATTGTCAGCCTAAGCACTCAGCATTTTAATTAGTAATGCATGATATAACAATTAATTGATGCACTCATGCACTCGATCATGTATTTTTAGCAGAGAAAGAGTGATGATGTATAATGATGAAAATGGACCAGAAAAACATGGCTGCTCATAGCCATAGAATTTTTCTATTCATTCACAGGGAAATGTTTTAAGAGTATGCAGTAAACTTCATGTAAATATATGACATCTATTGACTACTTCTAATGCTAAAGAAAATTATCATTATGACTAAATCTCATCCCAGGGTATTGTTTATATGTCAATATTTTAAGTATATTTCAGTATATTCTATAACAGTCGAAATCAAGCAAAATTAATATTGTAGTTGACACACTGTTGCTTTATGTCAAATTCTGTATATTCAGCAGATAAGAAAAATAGTATTCCATACAGAACCATTTAAATGTGGATCACTGAAAACACAGTCTGAGTTTTATGTCCATTTGTGGTACTTGAAACTATGTGCAATTTCAGGAAGCAATATTGTAGAGAGCATTTATAATAAAATAAAAATGCCATAACTATATTTAAATTTTTTTATGGAACAAGGTACTGCAGTAACAGTTTTTTTGTCCATATTTGTACCTGAATTGCTGCTGTAACTACATGTGTTGCAGGTGGTCCCTAAATATTAATATGGAGGAAGGTTATGATGTGTTAAGGAATATGCAGTAAACACTGTGCAGTAGAATTCCTAATAATTAATGAATAGTTGATAATTGCTGTCTTCTGGGATGCGAGGTCATGTAGTTGGGTAGATTGGTATCAGTGTTTCAGAGGAATGTTGATACTTATTTATGAAACTGTATGGCATCACATTCCAGAAGGCAGCAATCTTTACAGTCACTGCAATGAGAACCTCACCTCTTACATGATGCATGGTTGATCAGGCCTTGATTTGACCACTGAATGTATATTTGTGCATCCAGGACACATTCCATTTGCAGAGAAACTGTAGTGTCCAAATCTGGTGACAGAAACTTGTTTAATTTTCCTTACTTGACTGCTTAGCCATGTGTAGGTATTTAGCGTATGTTGTTTATAATACTGTCAGTTGTTGGAGGGAAGTGCAAAATGGCTTCTCAGAAAGGATACTTTACCTATATCAAATATAACATTAAATAAGGTGCCATAAATTGCTTCTCCGGTGTGCTTGTTGTTTTTTGTTGACCTGTAACTAATCACAAGCCTTCTGGTAATCATTTCTCAAGTTGGGGATTGATCATGTACTAATGCATATGGATAAAATTTTGCTAAATTAGGCATATTCAGCATTGTTTCGTTTCCTTACAGTTAAGTATCTCAAGCTGTCAGTTTATCCAAAAATCATTTATTTATATACAGTACTTCAGTTTGGTACATCAATTAAAAACCATTCATTTGTCATTAAATACAGATTTTAATGTTTGTTCTCTGTATTACATGAAAGTTCAGTAAAACTAACCTATATGTGTTTATATACAAACAAATTCAAGAAACTAAAATGTTTCCAAGAAATTAATATAAAGGTAAAGCTATCCCTGTAACAGGCCATGGAGGCCCATAAGGTTGTGAAATGTTGAGGCTCCCACGTTTTATAGACATTTGGCTCACAGATGTCAGTGAGATTGTCAGCCTTATGCACCGGTCACTCTTTACCCCCCAGGTTCCTGGTACTCATTTCTGTTTGAGGCTTAGTTGATCCATGGGCCATAGTGTGGCTGGAAGGATTAGATCAATAGAGAACTCTGATTACCTCATCGGGAATCGAACCCACTACCATCTGGCTTGTAGCATGTACGTTTAGTAATTTTCTTTAGTCTTAAGTTGCTCATTGTTTCTGTTATTATAAGTACAGAACTATAAAAAATTATTAGTATCTCTCNTCCCCCCCCCCCATCCTAATGCATGACTGCATTTTGAGTTTTGTTTTTCACTGAAGAAAATGTGGAAATATAGAGGTGCAGGTTTATATTGCTACTGCCAGATCACATACTCTTTTAATTCCAAATTTGATCCCAGTGAACAGCTTATGAGGAATTCTACTGTAATTTATTTCTGAATTGTATTATAATCCAATGTTACATTAGTTCGTTCAGTTTTATTAATTTTAATGATTATTTTGTATGCAGAGAATTTGAAGTGGAGAGTCTAAACTTCGCAGGACAGGTGCACAAGTGGCGACTAAGTCAGCTTCTTCAGAAAGGAACAGAACGTAGCCAAGAGTCACTTCTGAATGACCTCGCACTTGCACTGAGGTTCATCATTGTCACTGCCAGGGGACGTCTCTTCTCTCACTTCTTTAGCTTGTATAAGGCATTGCGTGCTCTACTTACTGGACTGCTACGCTTATTAGGTAAACTAGCAAATTCACATTCATTGCTGCTGGTATAGTGGAAGTAGACCATAACTCTCTTAATGTGAAGGAGCAATGAAGCCATGTTTGCTTACACTACCAATAATACTTGTGTACCATTGTGCTTTAGTGACTATTTTTACCCAGCCGAAAACCATGCGCATTACTATAATTATGTTCTTAGCAGGACATGTCACCTTGTACTTGCTATTGCTTGTCAACCCCAGTCAGATTTCCACATTAGTAGATTATTAAATGGGAGATTTATTGAATATGAACATTTTGTACATCATTTTCAGAGTTATTATTACATATCTGTCTTGTGTATATTATTGTGATCAGTATGAAACCAAAACCAGAGATACCATGTATGCGAGATATTTCATTTGAAGGAGAAAGCTCTAGATCGCATCAGGTGGAGGAACTGTTTTGGAGGAGACTGTGGACCTGTCGTCTTGACAGATTACTGATGAATGAATGAATGAATTGGTATTATAATTAAATGTATTTGTGTCTGTGCATTAACAGTTTACACAGATCTGCTAATTGCATATTATATGTTATGTTGTATACATTGTTGATTGTTAGCTGGCATTTGTTTAGATAGTATATGCTTGTGTTTTGTTTATGCGCCATTATTTATGTACATAGATGCAATAGTTCCTCCTCTCTCACTGTTGTATGCTCCACTAGGAGTAGTGTCAAAATCGTACCAGCAGCAGGAGTATATATTATTTTTATACCATAGAAAAATATCACTGTGACACTCTTTCGTGATGAAATAGGAAACATTATGTTAATTTATGATAACTGTACATTTGCGTTTTGATACACACAAATTAAATGACACATTAGGAGAAATTCATTTCTGGTATGGGTAATGCAGCTTTTACCGTCATGAGTATTTTCAGAGCAATTCTGATGCTGTTAGAGATCCTCAAACTCAATGCAAACCAGACACCCTTTCATCCATCTAGTATTAATGTCTGTAATATCCGTACTTTTACTGCTGTTGTTTGTATTTGTGGCATGTTTTATTATTAGGCTCAGGCATATTTCTACATTTAACACCTAGAGCTTTGAAAATATCTTGGATAAGGCCTTCTGATCAGCCAATTAAAAAACATTGGTCAGTAACAATATTGCCAACCATAAATGATAATTTTGATATACAGTAGAACTTGGTTATAACGTCATCAAAGGGACCTAAAAATAGTGTCGTTATAAACGAATGTCGTTGTAACCGAAATGGGCACTTCCACAGTAGCCTTATGTTAGTCACGTAAAAATCTACCAAAAACCGAGTTAAAATGTTGCATTTTTTAGTGAAATACGTAGTTAAGTACAGACTAACGTAACATTAATGTGGAATTGACCCAAATGTGTAATATCAAAGACATATTACAGCGCTTTTCACTGACAATACACACCGCACTAATACTGTATATTAAAGGTAGGCCTACTCACCAAATTACAGTAGATTACATCAATTGTTGTGCCTTACTGTACCTAGATACGAGTACAGTAATCAGTTATCTTCATCTGTTTCCTGTTACTTGCCCAATACACACTTTCTAAATTACGTTCAATGTCCATATCAGAGAAATTCGGGAATGAAAATGACGTTACATACGAGGTTGATGCATTTGTGCATGTCGTACTAAGCAAGGTATAAAAACAGTTGCTTTATGAGGAATTAGTTCGTACCATTGAATATTTGACGCAATAGACAAGGTGTCGCAGAAACCGATGTTGCTATAACCAAGTTTTACTGTATTTTTGAAAGTACTTGAATTTTTACAGTTCCATAGCTCAGCAGCTTATAGTACATTACCCTTGACCAATGTAACTCTCTAATAGGTGTGTTTCCATAGAAACTGCTTGGAACTGGCATCTGCTTTTTGCCACAGAAAATGTTAATATAATTTTTGTGCTTGGTAAGAGAGTACATAATGGCACATTTCCTTACTTCTTTAGATCTTTAACTTTGTGTAAATCCAATTTATGTACTTTACTCAAAGGGTAGATGACATATTGGACATTTTAGTTATCACAAATGATAAGTAAGATGGAAATTTTAAAATGAAGTTGTTCTAAAGGGAAGTAGGTTTCTCTCAGAAAATCTCTAAATCTCTTTTCAGATTTGAATATATGGTAGATAAAGGTAAGGTAAAGTTGTCTGTATGCTTATCCTAATTAAGCTTTATGCCATGAAGACATATGGTGTAGTCAATATATAGATCCACATTTTCTTGATCTCAGCACTAGTTGGAGGTGAGTATGTACGTATGTGGCCCCTGCCACATACGTATATGATAGAGACTTGCGTTTTACTTGGATTTGATCCCAAAATTTCAAAATATAATGGACAAATGGAACTATGTATGAAATTAATTTTGATAAAACTTTGAGCTTAAATATGCCTCAGGATTTTAAACATGTATTCAAATTAAAACCATAATCCACATGACATTAAAGCTCTAGAGTTACTAGTAATAGAGCAAAAATATTGATTTAGTATAGATCCTTTTCAGTAAATTTTTAAAATTTACTCGAAGCCTTAAACTTTCTGTTTTCTCTACAGTCTTCAAAGAAACTATACGAGCTATAGAACTATATATTCAGTGAAATAAAACATTCTTTATATCTGTATATCTGTATCCTTGAATGTGGAGTGCCATGACAGAAGTCAGAGTCACTGTTGGTTATGAGTATATCACTGTGCACCTTGCATCACAATTTGATTTGTGTTGCAGATATTATTATTGGTGTACCGTCCTTACAAGCTCACAACCTGGATGCCAAAATTCGGGAGGAAAGATGCCGATATTTGGTTGCAGAATTAGTTTGCCGGGTAAGAAATGTTTAGCCTGTTTCTGTTCCAGTTGATGGTCTGATTCTATCTCTGAGCCTAAATGACTGATTCTGTTTGTCCAAGTTTGTTTTTGTTGCATTTGCAGTGAAAAATTGCAAAAATGCATCTGTTTACTGTCTCATATCTGTCTTTCTGTCTAGCCGCATGTCTGCCATCTGTTTGCCAACATGTAACAACTCAAGACATGCTGAATGGATTGTCATTTGATTTGATACTAATAAATTTTACTAAAATTTGTCAGCAAGCTCAAATTTGCTTAAATTTTGATGACAGTAATGGACACTGTAAATCAGGGCTTTTTTTTTTTTTTTTTTTTTTTCCCCATACATCCTGAGTGTTGCTCACTATATGCTCATATTTATCAAACCAAGAATTATTTTTACATAAGTTATAGAGAAAAATAAAACACATACTTTATATACAGTACACTTTTTATGTATGACTTACAGTTTTTGAATTAATTAAAGAAGAGGGAGAAAATATACCAGAATTTGGATTGGACAGAATATGTGAAAATTACCCTACAGCTGTCACTCACTTAATATATATTGGAATGAAAAAATGTTTTTATCAAACTTATAAAGAAAAAGTAAACAGATATTTTATGCTCAGTACAGTTCTTCTGTACTCTTATGGTGTTTGAGATAGTTAGACAAAAGAGACACTGCCAGAGGAGGGGGGACCTCTCTGACAGAAAGGGACTTAACTATTAGATACCACTGCCAGAGGAGGTTGGAACCTTGCTGGCAGAAAGGGGCTGATAGTAAGCACCAGTACCGGTAGGGTATGGAGACAGTAGAAATTAAAGGGGGATGCACAATGGACCACTAACCGGTCTAAGTGCATGGGGAAACCCACCCCCTCAATACGCAATACGGAATAGACAAAAGAGAAGAAATGCACTAAAATTTTTATGTGGGAAGAATGTAAAAAAATTATTTCAGAACAATTTTTTCTTTTGTAACAGTGTAAATTGCATTTAGCTGATTAATTGTAATGTGAATGTGTTAATTTGAGTGTAAAATTTGTTGTTCTTTTACATATATTTATATATGTGTGATATTGGAGAGCTTGACTGTGTAAGAGAACAGAAATTCTGTAGATGGACCGCATCATGCTCATATCTTTGTAGATCATCTTGCCCAAATCGTATGAAGTTGGAAATAGTGTATGTAATATCTATTTGAAAAACAATTAGTTGGTTAAACACACATTACATTGATTGGCCTGTAGTTTCCATGTTCATGCATATTATGTATAAGGAATACTATGTACTTATGTTTTTGCAGACTGAGTTTGAGGACTCTTTAGAGTTGCTTTGTGGGTTTGTGCGTCGCCAGTTACGTCGAGCCACCATGGAAAAGTTTGAAGTGGAGCGAGAGGCATCACACCCTCCAGTTCCTGTCCCATATCTCTTTCTTACACCCAAGGTAATGCATCCACCATTTTATGTTCTCATTGTCCTCAAGTATGTTTTGTGGTGTGAGTCAACTTTTGGGCAGTTATTGTGAAGTATTATTTCAGATCATCTGCAGTTTGTTTTTGTATCATTTTTCCATTACCCAATAAATCTCTGTAAATCAAATTACATGTTTAATTTACCTTACACTTAACATGTATTGTTACAGACCCACATACATTACAAATGCTTAACCGACCTTAAGCTTTTTATTTATTATTAATACAAAATATAAATGTAATTGCTAAAATATATCTACTCTTTTTGTTATTTTGTTAAAAACATTGGCCTTCCTGTTATAACATGAGTACACACTTCAGAGTGTGTTTACCAAGTGCAATCTTTGAAATTTTGTATACCTCCTTGGACTAGGTGTTCGTTTATTTTTGATTTGTTACTATTATTGTGTATGTGAATCTGTTTCATCATCCAGATAACTTTTTGTCTACAACAGTTGAACTGAAAGTGAACTAACTTAAAATGTGGACAGACGTTTCATGATGAGAGATGGAGGGGTGCTGATATATAACCCCTTGACATGAGAAATAATTTTGAGTAATTGCCTGGCTTAGTAATTTATTGGACCTAACAGCTTGAAGCAGAAACATAAGTGGGCTTTGAAGAGTGTTTTATTATAATTAAATCCCTCCTGCCACATGTTAACTCAAAGGATGAATAATTCAGAACCCAACAAAATAATCAAATGATATAATCTGTTTTTCTAAATGTTATTTTTACCAAAATGAACTCACATTGGCATGTGTTTTATCTACATGCATGTGCACACTCCCATACAATGAATTTGCAAGAATTGTTACATATTTTGTCAGTTTCATTTGAGGTGTGGGGCAGTTACTGATTTATTTCATAATGCTGTATCATCTGCTGAGGTTATGTAATATCACCTGAGGTACAGTAGGATGACTGTGAATGATGAATTCGCGTTGTTGAAGGAAGCTGTCAGTGCTGCAGAATGCTATTATAGAGAGGGACTGAGGAAAATATAATTCTTTTCTCGGGATATCTGATTCTCAAGTGGAATCTGAAATGAAAATCTCTTGAATGTGCATCAGATCACTTGGTAGCCTGCTTAGACCGTTTTATTTATATCATTTTTTTTTTTGTTTTAGCAAACAGTTGCCTGTAACAAGATTATATTTGTGAAGGATGTGACACCATGTATTTTTGTAGGTTTGTACCAGTTCCCTTGACTTTCAGTGTTTTCCTCTTCTTCCCTGAAGATTTTAGCAGGAGATTTGTCTGAAATGTTGATACCTATCTACTAAGCAGTGTGGTATCATGGCTTATAAAATCATGATATTGATTCATCTATGAGAACTTCAAACCTCAATTATTGTTTGCAAATATTTTGTCTGTCTCCTCTGTACTTTTTACTGAAAAACAGCTGCACTTCTTTTTTTCCATCTTCATTATGAATATGAGTTCTTATATTGGTCAGTACTCAGACCCTTTCGAAAATATATTAGTCTTGCTATTTAACTGGACATCTTATTTTAATAAATTCTTATACCAAACACCAGTTAATGAAATCAACAGGGTGTTGAGTTGGATTTGCGTTTGTTCAACCGTGACATCATGAGACGTGCCCTTCCTCTCCTGATGGCCATTTTGGAACGTGAGACTCGTGGGTGGTTCTTACATTTCCGGGAAAGACTTATCTCTGAGTTGCGAAGCCAGAAGCTGCCAGATGAGGAAATTGAAAGAGTGAGTGTTTTGTACATTTTTACCAATACTTGAATTCTTTTTCAGTAACAGTAAAACTGCTATATAATAATGAAAAAAATCTGAGTCTCAGCAGACAGATTTATGTAAGTTGTAATATAAAGAACTCCAAAACAATGCAGTTTGTGATATTACTGTTATACTGTCTATTGTCTGTCTATACAATCAACTCATAATGATATTGTGTTTGTTTATGGTAACATTGTACCTACAGAGTGTTGTGTTCTCTGGTTGCCAGTAGCACTGATTCTGCTAGGAGATAAATCTGCCTGCAATAGCCCCTCTGTCATAGTTTTTGTGAAAACCCCTTGTTCAGACGAGCTTGAAACTTGTATTTTATGTTTTTTCAATAGCATATGTTATGAATGAAATATTAACGTAGCCAAATGTTATCATTAATTCATGCCACATTGAGACTTTGCTGTATGTGTGGTGTTGTTTCAGGAGGTGAACCAGGCAGTAATGCAGGAATATCTGCAGAGGGTATACACAAGCATCCTTTCACACCCTGACCTGATGGCACTTGGTGAAGGCATTCCCCAGCTGTTGGTTCAGCAGGCACAATCTGTTATTCTTATGCACAGGTGAACTTAGCTGTACAACATACTTTGTTCCATAAGAGTCACACATGAATTCTTTGAAATTTTGTGTCCCTGCTGGATGTTTTGAAAGTTTCAAATGTAGATTATTTTTATTGAGGCTTGTGTTTTTCCTCATCACATCCAGAGAAATACTGGGAAAATATATCACAATAGACCACAGCACTTACTTCCATGCCTATCTGGATTCGTCTTTCANCAACTCCTCCCCGCGACTGCATCCGTTCTGCGGTGGTATGACTCACGGCAAATTGCAGCCGCGGCGCGCACTTGATTGTACGCACTGTATTATTCAATTCGAATTCTTGCCTTCTCATCTTCTTTTCAAAAAGGAATAAAGATTAAATTTGTATAAAATAATTATTTTGAATGTTACATTGTGTGGGCGTGGTCTTGGTATCTCAGTCAGAGATCTAGAAAAATCTGTATTACTGAACAAGCCAGTGTATATTTTTGTTCACAACCTTAAAACAGAATACATACTAATTTAACTCTTTAAATCATGGTGGTCACTATATGTAGCACTTTCATTAATGTTAAACAAACTCTGCATTTCACCCACAGAATGTATTTAGAGTTTTCTTATGATTCCTGGAGTAAACAGTGGTTATTCTTTAAAACAGCGTTAGCTGATTGGTCTTTGCAAAGGAGACATTGTTTTCTGTGTGATACAGATTAAATTTTTAAATACTATTCAGATGAATTTCAAGCTCCAAAGAGCTAAATAGTGGCTTTATGTTTTTTTTTAAAGGGCTGTTGAAAATGTTCAGCGAAAGTTGGCTAAAACAAAGGAGTCTCTGAGACAGCGCATCGAGTATATGTATCCTGTGCTGTCTCGTATTCAGCCGTGGATGAGGAACAAATTGAGGAGTGCAGAGGTGAACAATTTGTGCTTCATTAGAGTTATGATTTTGTTAATGTTAATTTAAAGGTATTCAAGATTATAAAAAAAATAATTACAGATGGGTTATTTTTCATAAATTGATCTTCTTCCATAATTCACCAAATTATATATGCCGTATGAAAATCAGGAACATTATTGCAAATTGCATCAGCATTAGTGCTTGGCTTAAGTTACCAGTTGTAATATCTGCTGTGTATTCTTTGAAGCACCTACTTATTTTTATATGTACCCATTGAAATTTTAATAACAGGCCTGCAAAAGCTGAAGTATGATTAAAGTTTTGCAGTCTAGACAAGCTAGTGGGTACAGTTTGCAGATTGTTACTGTTGTTATTGTTATATATTTCTCTTCTTTATAGTCATCATTATATTACATAAGCTTTAATTTTACAAAACATGTAAGAAATTAATTTTTTTCTTAGATGCATGTTCACTTAAAGAAATCTATTGATTTATTTGATTCTTATTCACATATTTTGGAATGACAGCAACAGATGAAAAACGTGTTCATGAAGGAATTCACAGTAGAGTGAAGTCATGCATTGCTTGCTACCATTGATTTCAGAAGCTATTGTCTTCCTTCTTAATGTAAAAATGTAAAGGTTAAACTGTGTAGCTCTATAATTTTGCCTGTTGTTTTGTATGAATGTGAAACTGTGTCCAGTTGAACAAAATATAGATTGAGAGTTTTTACAAATGGTACTGAAGAATATATTGTAACATGTTTTGCTACTCTAGACACCATTCAGATTGCTAATTGGTTTATTTAGCAACCTACAAGTTGTAGCTACAATTAATTATAACACTGTTGAGGATTTACACAATTTACAAACCCTACATAATATTCTATTCACTCTGTCCTCAGTAGTCTTCACGTATTTATAACGCGGGAGCTATACAAGTCTCTGTGAATTACACACTCCCAATATAACTGTTCTACGGCACACACAAAACCTTGAAGTCACACAATAAGTCTTCACTTGCTGACTTCTCAGGTACCGCGCACTATAAAATCTTCTAACCATGCATCCAGTTCTTCTTTCCGCAACTGCTGCTATATTCCAGGTGTCTATGGTGGCTGATACATTTTAACTGGCTCCTTAAGTCAAAGTCAAAGTCAAAGTCATATTGCGACTGACGGTCGGTCAGTCAGTCAGTAAGTCTTGGTGTCGAGCCCCATCTAGGGCTCATGACCAGATATTAATTATTACTGTTTGACAAATACGGTCTTCTTTTTGTGGGGCGCCCTCTCTGACGAGAGGACGGGTCTGCCTTTTGCATACGCTGCTGGCCCTTACCAGCGCGGTCTTTCTCAGGTCCGAGTCCCTTGGGACTCGCGACCATATTTTACTGTCTCAGATTTGAGACTTCCCTTTTCGTCGCCTCCTACGACTCGCAGGGTCACGGTGGAGGTATTCGACCCCGCCTCCACACGGGCAACTGGCTCCTTAGGCAGTGTGGTTCTCTTATAAACCCTCAGCCAGACAAAGGGAAAACGCCTTGCTTCCTTCTTGCCTAGTCGCCGTGCTTACAGGTGTTGCTGGGAACACTTTCGAGTGTTGTTTACTGCTGTGTAGTAACCGCAGCATTGCCTGCTACATCACTGTTGTCACCTGCCACGTCAAAGTGGGAAACGCTACCACGTCACCGTGGGGAAGGGAGCAGAGCGCTGACCGGCCTGTCACCGTAGCAATGGCAGCACTGTTACGCCACCGCTGGCAGGGGAGGGGGCATCCTGCATAGCGCAAATACGTCATAATTATATCAACCTAAGAGGCAGGAAGTGATAAAGAGTCTGGAGAAAATAGCATCATGGGAGTTTCATCACTTGTACTCTACACCAGATATTAGGATAATCAACTCAAGGAAGATGAAATGGACAGAACATATAGCACACATGTGAAAATAAGCATACATGACACAATTTTGGTCAAAAAACCTGAAAGGGAAATACAGTTTGTAAGACTAGTCATGTTAGGCAGTTATATGAAAATGGATGTTAAAGAAATAGGATGGGAGGGAGTAGAGTTCAATATTTTGGCTCAGGCTACTGAGAAGTGACAACCTGTTGTGAAAATGGTAATGACTTCCAGGCTCCATAACTAACTTACTCGTGAAGCTGAGCCCTTCTTAAGGAGCTGCCAGTTCTGCGGCTACTCAAAAATTTCCCAGCATTTTATGGAACCCAAAGGTTCACAAGAGCCCTCCACTGGTCCCTATCCTGAGCCACATCAATCCAATCCATGTCATCCCATCCTATCTCTGTAAGATCCATTTTAATATTGTCCACCCACCTATGCCCTTGGTCTTCCCAGTGGTTTCTTTCCTTCTGGCTTTCCCACCAATATCCTATATGCATTCTTCTTCCCCCCCATTTGTGCTACATGCCCTGCCCATCTCATCCTCCTTGACTTGATCATTCTAATTATGCTTGGAGAAGAGTACAAGTTATGAAGCTCCTCTTTATGTATTTTTCTCCAACCTCCTGTCACTTCATCCCTCTTCAGTCCAAATATTCTCTTCCAACATCCTTTTCTCAAACGCCCTCAGTCTGTGTTCCTCCCTTAATGTCAGAGACCAAGTTTCACAGCCATACAGGACCACAGGCAAACCAGGTTCCGTAGTAGTTGAGGAATTTCTTGACCAACTGAATGAGTATTAGCTTCTTAAGATGGCTCCATGGAATTAATTATTCTTTTACCATTATTTCAACGTTGTTTTTTTACTTTGCTCCTCAGAGCCACTTTATTGAGGAATGTCAGTGGAGTGCGCATGAAGAGGCCCTTGTACTCTGCAGCAGCCAACGACTGCATCAGACACTGTACTTCCTTAACAGGGACCTCGTTTTCATGAGGGAGGTAATTATCTGTATATTTGCCATTTATCTTCGCTTGTACCACACATTTCTTGCTCATATTATTTTTGTTTTAATTTGCTTAGTGGGGGGTGGAGTCAAACTGGGTCCACTTGGCACGGTGGCCACTGATTGGCCTATTGTAGCCTGCCCCGGGTGATTATGATGGTGGAATGAAGATTGACAGGGGAAAATGAAGCACTTGGAGAAAACCTCCCCAGTGCCACTTTGTCCACCTCAAATCCTACTTGACTAGACCCGGGATCAAACCTGGCCCGCTGCAGTGGGCAGCCAGCAACTAACCACTTGAGCTATCACAAAGCCTCATGTTATTGTTGATGCTTAAAATCATTTATTTTTTATCATCATTCATCGATCCATTCAGGTACATAACCATTGGATACAGAAATTGTCAGGAGATTACATTGGTATATTACATAAAATTGTCTTAACATGAGATTAATAACAATTAAAATATATATAATAAACCAATGAATGCAAACTAAAATACAAAGCTATAATTACTGGGATATCCCAAGATCAAATTTATTATTCCTATCAAGATACTCTTCAACAGAATGAAAAGTTTTCTATGAGAAACTTTCTCAGTTTATGTTTAAATTTATTAATGTCATGTGAAACTTGCTTGATATTGAGAGGTAGAGAGTTAAATAATGTAATACCGAATAATATACTCCTTTTTGGACTTTAGGGACAGTCCAATTTTTGGCTGGTATGTATTTTATATACAATTCAGTATTTATTGTGAATAAATCCTTATGCTTTACAACAAACATAAGAGTTGAAAAAAAATGTATTGGGAGTAAAAAGTTAAAATTCCAAGTTTACTAAACATTTCCTTTCCTTTTGGCTTTCTTTCCCCCCCCCCATTTATTTTATGTTATCATCCTTGTCTCAGACTGTGTATTGTTGAATTGTAGAATGGTGGTGAGTAGTAAACTGGAAGAGATCTGGAATGAAGCAATTATATCCTAACTGAGGTACTATTCTGGCAGTTGTCTAGAGGTGCTGAGGAAAACTACAGAAACCTTAGTCAGGATAGCTGGTGTCCTGCCTAAGACTTAAACTGAGAACCATCAAATATAAGTCTAGAGTGTTGTCCTTAAAACAGCCTGCTCATTCTTTAATTCTTCATAATTTATTTTGTGTCACACATGTCATGTCCAGAGTGGAACTGAAAATAAACTGTAGACGGTTGTGAAATCTGAAGAGAGCACTGTTTAGGTTACATCAGCCTACAACTCAGAATGAAATTATTTGAATGAAGGAGTAAAGTATAGAAGTCTGTTAACAATAAATTGTTACTTCATTTATTCTTAGTTAAGAAAAATAACATCATTACTGTTTTGTAAAAACATATGAGCACTATATCACTAATTGAGAAAACGTCTGGAGAAAATTTTGATTCACACGCTGCATTTTGCCAAACACAGATCTCAGATATCGGCAGTTTTCTATTTATATCCTATTTTGTGAACCATGCTGTTGGGTTTTATGAATTCACAGCTTTATAATTATATATGTACAGAAGAAATTGGTACCTTCCACACCAGGGGATCCATCCTGGCACTGGGGCGAGTTTTCTCCGAGTACTTCGGTTTCCCCTGCAATCTTCATTCCACCAAATTCTCCATCATCATAATTACCTGGGGCAGGCTACAATAGGCCAATCAGTGGCCGCTGTGCCGAGTGGACCCAGTTGGACTCCACCCCCCACTAAGCGAATACTTTTTGGGAAACTGTTATACTCAGTTCTATGTCTAATGATATGACATATTTTATGTGTTTGGTGGAGGAACCAACATCATAGTTGGCTTTTGATGAGTGTTAATGGTGATTGCAGTTTCACTAAACCCCAGTTTCCAGCATGGTTTTGATACTGCCAACCATGGCTTTACCAGTAGATACTATAGGGTTCTGACTATGGTGTATAACACACAGAGATACTGGGTTTTCGGACTTTGTCCATCGTCCGTGATTGAAGCTAACTCTTTCTAAGGGACCCAACAGAGTAGGTATCTTCCCTCACCTGAGGACGGAAACAGATCCAGTTTCCGAAACGTTGTGTTTTTTCTTAGTTATTTAGAATATAGATGATGGACAAAGCCCGAAAACCCAGTATCTCTATGGCTTTACCAGTTTGTCAGGAAAGGTTACTGTGCTATCCAGATGACTAATAGTGTGTGCTACAGTTGATCATATCATATTGTTTGCTGAACATTCTTTAAATTAACAGAAGGCATGTACAAACAGAGTTTACTGAAACATATCATATGGACTTCATATAGATGTGAATTTGAGCAGTTATATGTATTCCCACCATACTACATTCCTATCAATTGCATGTCTGGGTTAGGCTTTCAGTTTTAGGTTAGAATTCTGATACAGTTTTGCTGGTCTTACATAGCAGTATTGCTTTAATAATGAGAAAATTTTTTGAACTTCCTTGGGTGAAACTCCTTGCTAAATTCTGTATTTGTTTATTCTTGTTATAATTATATGTCACAATTTTGATTTAGAGAGAGCCAGTACTGCTGAAAGAACTCCGTAAGGTGAAGACACCCACTCGAAGCTTCCAATGGTTAACTCAGATCTGGTTCCCAAGTAACTGGATTGTTAGACGTAACTTTCAGGGCCAGTCTGAAGTCATTCCAACTGTTCAGAGTGCAACAGCCACCTCCATCACCACTCCTCGTTCTGATCCCAGCCAAGTAAGTATTGGTGAATTCTTGCTTTATACATAGACATCCACCATTACCAGCAAGATAACAGCATGCCCTAGTTATGGTGTTTTGACTGTTCTGGCCCCTGTATAATTGCTAAGGGTGAATAAAGCCAGAGGAGAGTGTGTATAGGGCAGGATTTCTTGTATCACATGATATAATCCTGATGAAGATAGTAGAGTGGCCCGAGAGGTTTCTTTTGATGCCAGGCCACTGTAAGAGTATGGTAATACATGCATTTACAAAGATTTTTCCATTTTCCATAGGTGAGGGATGTTAAAGATGTATAAAAAGATTTTTACTGATTACGGCCTGTCCCAAACCCAACATGTTTGGTGTCAGAATCAAGTGCTTTATGCAGAAATAAGATTAGTACTGAACTCCTAGCTTATTGTTCCATAAGAATATAAAGATCAAGATTCCTTAGATTTATACTTATGATAGAAGAAAGGAAGTTCTGAGGATTTGACAAAGAATAATGTAAAGGGGTTTGATTCGGGTTGAATGTTCGTCATGCTCTTTTTATATTTGAAGAAGGAAGTTTCATATTTCAATGCATGTGATTAAAAAGTGGTTGCAAATTATGTAATTTGTACCACATGCTTTGTTTACTCATTCATTAGGTTTAACAGCATAAGAAAAGAACATTTTGACATAAAATGCCTTAAATTAATATGTAGTACTCTTTCTAGGCAGGGCTGGAAGATTGTTCCATATCAGCGTCAAATGTCTTTAAATATTTTTCCATGCAAAAAAGGGCAAGGAATTCTCTGTCATTTATTTGAATCGCCATTTCCACCTGGCATATTAAATTAGGAACATATTCTTTTTATCAGCCTGTGTTCCTCGTGGAAAAGGAGGTAGTCCGCACAACAACAACCAGATGGCCCATGTGGAGGTGGATTAACTACTGTCATCGTACCTGGAGCTGGACCTGGAATGCCATGTTCTTTTTTGGAGTCAGTAACATATTTATTCAGTTTAATTTTAATGCTGATCATGTTGAGAATCAAATACAATGTTTAGCTGAATATGAGCTGGCCCCCTTAGAGTTAACTATCTTAACCATTTGGTAGCAGAACTGAAAATTTCAACACATGTGGCCCAGTTCACTCCTACCAAGTTCCATTTTCACAGTGAATTTTGGTTCATTGGTCTGTCATTTCATATTTATCCAACCTTTGATAGTTGACTTGATTTGACTATCCTAACCTTAACAGGTGAGCTGTAGAAGTTACAGAACACTTCATTGTATAATTACCTTGAATGCTTGTTTGCTGTATTTATTCTCATAATTATGCACATTTTAACCAGAAATGTATATCTGAAAGTTGAGATCCATAAGAATGTTATATTTTAGTGTCCTGTCGCACTGATTCATGTCCATGATGTGTATCTGTATCAACCGTCTTACAGTGCACACAATTTCACTTTTCTCCACACTACATGTTGCGGCACTAATGTGCCATCTTCAGGTGTGGTTTTATTTACGTCAAACCATTGCACTGTATGCCATCATGTCTCCTTTATAAAATGATTAATATTTATATGTGTCATGTATAATAATATAGTTTATATGTTAAAACTTTTCAAGATTTATCAATGATTAAAATGTATATGTGTCATGTATTATAATAATAAAGTTTATATGTTAAAACTTTTCAAGATTTATCATTTTATAAAGGAGACATGATGACATACAGTGCAATGGTTTGACATAAATAAAACCACACATGAAGATGGCACATTAGTGCCAAAACATGTAGTGAAGAGAAAGGTGAAATTGTGTGCACTGTAAGACGGTTGATACAGATACACATCATGAAGATCCATAAGATAAGCAAATAATACTTCTATACTTCTCAGAATATAAGTGTATACATTAGGTTAAGATATGAAGATGATATTGAGAGAAAAATGGCTTGTGTGAGAACAAGGCGATATTTATTCTTTACAGCACAATGTATGTCCATAATTTTAAAACCAGTACCACCTGGTGGGCTTAAAGAGATATCTGCTGGTGGGCATTCCTAAATACTTCATCGGTTCTTAGCTTGTATAGGGTTTTGATAACAGAACAAATGGCACCCATTTTGTTTGTGCTCCTGGATCTTAAATTCAACATTCTGTTTATTTCATGGTTCAAAATACTTGAAAAAAATAATATAGCATTGTGTTTTCTTGTAACCATCCTTCTCATGATAACTATACTTCCCAGTATTGAGGTTGATACATAAAGTAACAGCAGAAATATGTATTATGAAAAAGAGTTATGGCATGCTGACCTGTTGAATTAACAAATGGCTCCATATGTCAATATAGACAGAGTTTGCAATGTCTGGTGCCAACTGATAGCTCACTGGGTGCCAATGGTTTACAACCCCTGTCCTAGCAAAAGGCCTGAAATTGGCCTTCATTATTATATTGTATAATCTAACAATATTGATTGTACATTGCTATGAGAAATAGGAAAACATTGTACATAATATGCTTTTTCTTCCAAAAAAATTCAGATATCTCAGATTCTAAAGGGAAAAATTTCATTGTATTTTGTTTGGATAAATGTGCTTTACAACATGTTGTCCAGAATGATGATCTGCAAGTTCCTCACATTATGGAAATGTTTTTAATGTTTCCAGGTAGTGATCCCATGGTGTAGTCCTGTGGGACTTCGAGCACTGTTCTGCGTGGATCCATTTATGCCTGATCTGGAATTGTCACAGGTGAATGGCACACTCTTCCCACGCAAATCATCTCTCACACCAACTCTCTGCTCCAGGCTGCTTGCGCTATGGAGACATATATCAAAATCACGAACACACTTTGAGACCAAGCCAGATACAGGTAAAGATATTTATTTCCTATGTGGTGTTGGAAATGTTTAATTCATTATATGATCACCATCACAGTTTTTTTTACCAAATATTCTTGAGAATGAAGACATTACATACTAATATATTCCTGTCAACACAACATTGTTTTCAGCAGGTGGAGTTGGTGGCTAGGACGACATGTTTAGGCATATTCAGGCCCCTGATTTAATTACAATTATTCTATTGTGTACTTAGCATAAATGTTTCATGTAAACTGAGTGGATCTGTCCCACACATTTCATAATCATCTTTGCTGTTATCTCATTTGGTGCTACTTGATAATGGCATAAAATTATGATAACCTTAACTATGATTGATTCTTTAAAAGTCTCTGGGAGTGACTGATACATTACCCTGCAATTATGCAGGATACTGTTCATTGTTTCTTAATTTAAGCATATGTAACATAATCACAATTGGTCCTTCCTCATTTGGCTCTCAAAGTACATATGTTTGCAAGCTTTGAAGGAATTAGTTATTGTGATGTCCACATATGATTTTCATGCCTCACTTTGCTCAGCAGTTTAAACACAGTTACTGGGGTTTTGGACTTTTTTCCATCATCCGGAATTCTAGGTAATAGAGGACATGACTTTTTGGAAACTGGATCTGTTTCTGTCTTCAGGTGAGAAAGGAAGACACCTACTGAGTTGGGCCCCTTAGAAAGAGGTAATCTCAATCATTGGACCTCTTCTTAAGGGGCCCAACTGAGTAGGTGTCCTCCTTCCTCACCTGAAGATGGAAACAGATCCAGTTTCCAAAACCTTGTGTCCTCTGTTACCTAGAATTCCAGACGATAAAAAAAGTCCAAAACCCCAGTAATTCTGTGTGTCATCCACCATCGTCAGAACCCTTTACAATCTACCAGCAGTTTAAAATTGCATGACTGAGACTGTGTAATAGTACATTAATTTCTTGATTGCAGGTTTCATAGGTAAAGGCATGACACGACATATCAATCGCTTATGGAACTACATTGTCAAGGGCCTGCTTGGAACTCTTGGCATCATATTGGTATTCCCCCTTGTCTGTTTAGTGATCAGCTGTGGAAGTCTTCTTATTACAGCTACAGCTCTACTGTGGTAATATATTATTATCTTCAATGTTTTTAGTGGAATAAGAAATTTGTTTCCTCGAGAACAGAATTTATATACAGTCTGTAGATACTTCATAAGCCTAAGCCAAAGGTATAGAACATGACATAATACAACTACAGTACTTTTTTAATACAAAATTATAATGCCTCTTTAATGCCTTAGAAACCTACGTGTTCCTCAGTCACATCTAACAAAGAGGCAAAAAGGGGTCTATTGCATGAGTGTAAAAGTTTTTAATAGTTTGCCTGATTTTTTCATTGAGTTAGTACATAATAAAAAAACAGTTTATTGGGAAACTAAAGGATGTATTGCTTCAAAACCCTTCTTATACTGTTGAGGAATTCTTGCTTGCTTTTCTGTCAAGACCTACAGCTAAGGAAAAGATGTGTCTGACAGTGCACACTTCACTAAACACTATGTCCTTGGCTGTGCTTATATATACTTGCTGCAATTTGTATTGCCTTTTAACTATTGTATATGTTTTTGACAAGTATAGATTATATATGCTATGTGAATTTGTAAGTGTCCAATGTTTTGTTTGCTTGTTGACATGTTTTATATTCGGTGCTGGTGGCACATTTATGAATATTTTAAAGAAATGCAAATGTATATGTATGTATGTACATATTTACAGACATCTGTTATAGTACACAATTACACCAAAATAATTATGTGAAAGAACCACCCCATTGTTACTTACTTGTTAAATATTTGACTTGTTCTGTGTCCAGTGGTGTTGGCCTGTAATTGGATTTGCTTGAATGCAATAAATACTATACTATACTATACTATATATAAAACTGAGATTTATATTAAGATAAATTGTTCTACAGAGTAGGAATGAGAAGATATTCTTTTAATGCTGGCTTAAGTAGTTTTATATTGTGATTCAGACGTTTCATTGTACAAGGAAGATTATTGATTATCTTAATTTCAGTGCAGTAAACTCCATCTGATATTTACTAGTGGTTGGACCATATAGGTTATATTTGTGTCCTGCACTTATACTGTATATATCTGAATTTGTTTTAAATTTTTCCATTTTGTCCACAGTAAATAATAATATGAGAATGAGAATTTGCTAGCTAGTGGAAGAATTCCGTATTCTGTATCGAGGGGGTGGGTTTCCCCATGCACTTAGACCGGTTACTGGTCCATTGTGCGTCCCCCTTTAATTTCTACTGTCTCCATACCCTACCGGTACTGGTGCTTACTATCAGCCCCTTTCTGCCAGCGAGGTTCCAACCTCTTACTGGCAGTGGTATCTAATAGTTAGTCCCTTTCTGTCAG